TTTTTTTTTTTTCTTTTTTTGGGAGAAAGTGTATCAGTAAGCCAAGAGTTTAAATTACTGTAACAGATGCCTATGGATCAGGTGTCCTTAGCAGCAACGATTTTCTGCTCAAGTTTTTATCAGTAAATGACAAGCACCTTCCCTTTGAGTCCCCATCACTCCCCCTCCTTCCTTTCTTCAAGTTCAGTGAAAACCAGTTCAAGCAAGCAAAGGAATCAACTAATGTAACAGCCTTTTTAAAAGGTGAAGTTTTCCATTTCAAAGGAGCCTCTAATCAATGACAGGGCGCAAAAGGGAGCGCACGCATGTTTATGCGCGTACAGCACAGACTTTAGAGAAGCTTTGGGGAACATCTTCTGCAAAATCAATATGACCTAGCTAGTTACAAATTTCATATCTGCTGCATGAAAACAAATGGACTTCTTGTACAAGCTGGGTCACAAGGATCATGCATACGACACTGGATTTTGCATATGAAGAGTGCAAGAACTGCAACTTTCCCAAATACATTTTCTCTAAGAACATACTCACAATTCTCACCCCCACCCCGCACAGAGGAAGAACCAGACTAAATCAACACCTAAATTTTAGTTCTCTCGCTGTTATTTACTTGTTTGACTTCCAGTTATGGTAGACATCTTCTCTGTTTTACTTCTGAATGCACCTCTGCCTCCCCCAACCATAAAATGACCCCCAGTTTTGTTCTACAGCAGCAACAGAGAGGTTCGATCCTTCCCACTCTGTCAGACCTGCCTAACCGATCCCCAAAAGCTAGGTGAGGAACATACACTGCAGAAATAATTATTGCTGGGCAGTGTAACATCTTGTGCCAAGGCTCAGTTGTGCCAGGAAATGCACGCATCTTCCTGAGATGCTTGGGTCTTCAAAGCCTCAATCTGATCCAGTCCCATTGCCTTGTGGCATTCTATCCCACAAAACACCATGTATTTGTATTGGGTACTGTGGCCATTCTTTTTTCACCAAACATGTACATTACTCTCAAAATCTTTTAAGGGGAAAATAAGTCCCTGCACTAACAACTGCATATAAAGCACGACTTGAAAAGGAAACAAAACAAATGAGCTGAGTGGAATTGTGTGTTTCATGTTCTCATTAATCAGCATTCCTGGAGGAAGGGACATCCAACACAGAAAAATAGCAAAAATTAAGACTCTCTCCTCTTCTTTGTGAGTCCTCTTAGTTCCTCCTGGATGCTATCCCAGAAATTTGTCATTCTGTGAGTTCAACTTGTTTCACTGTGAGAAAACTTCTAGTATTTATGGTATCCCCATATGGTGCTACTTGGAATATTTCTGGTAGCAAGACATTTTAGGAGGGGCATTTCATAAATAACTCCATGTTTATCACAGTTATCATGTGTCTGTTTTGCAAGCTTGTCGCTGGCACATGTTAACCACTGCATGGACAGGAAGCCCGGTTTACAGCAGCTGATCTTACGGCCACGCAACAAAGCTGTGACAACTATCTTTCATGACCTAGGGAGGAAGGAGGCGAAAGGAAATGGGCTTAAAGATTATAAATGGTAACAACTAAGAAAAAAAATGCTGTTTATTTTTGTGAGCACTTGCTAGGAAGCACCCTTTTAGAACAGTGCTGTTGCCTGCAAAGTTTTCCCTTGCAAGATTTCCAAATCTTTGAACCATTTGACCTAAATAGTTGATTTCCCTTTATATTTAAAGATATTTTTATTTCAAGAACTGGATAAAGGACTAGCTATTGTGTCCATGCAAAGACTTCAGAGATGATAATTTTTAGAACAGTAGCAAAACTGCAGTGCTCGTAGCTAGCACTATTTCTACACATCTTGATTCCAAGACAGACGACAAAAAGTTGAATTCTCTAGGATATGAATCAAGTATTTACAGCAAACTGCCTTTATACTCCGGGCATTCACTGTATTTTGAGAAAGTCTTGTTTCCAATTATATTTTGGTAAAACCTGCTATTCAATTGCTCTTTACCCAGAGAAGGAAACCCCCCGAGCCTTTTACAATGAGGACTGTCATTATTTTCCCTGGGAAAAGAAAAGAAATACCAGGAAATCTCACATTGCTAATGGGCGACTTAAAATGAAGGCTGCATTTGGCACCAACTAAAAAAGCCCCAACACCTAACAAACCTCGGTCCTGTGGCATTGGTGACTGGCTCAAGGCAGGGTGGGAGCTGGATTCTGACTGGCTGCCAGGAGGCTGCGGTGGCATCTGACTGCCTGTAACACACAGAGAAAAAAGGGAAAATAGACTTGCTTTTAACATTGCAATGCACAAAACCAAGCCTGCTGCATTTTTCAACCACTCAACATCAAAGAAAGTACCAGCTGTATAAAGTAAAGACAGAGCTCAACAGGTCTAGCTTTTTTCCTTTTTTTTTTTCCCTCTACTTTTTCCTTTTTTTTTTTTTTTTTTTTTGAAACCCACGGAGGAAACATGCATAAACATATTTAGCAACAGGCATGGCAAAATGTTCAATTTCGTATTGAGCGAGTTCCCAACCTCACCGCCATGATCCAATTTATAGCTGCAAATCTCCTGACACATATTTCTGTTAGAGACTTTAACAAAATCCAAGTCTGCTGAACAATAGGGCTCATCCTGCCGAGCTTAAACTGGCCTCCAGCCAGGCAGACGTGGACTGCTGCCAACAATATTACCAATGAAAAATTCAGTCAATACAAAAATGACTAACAACAACAGTTTAAAAAGTATTTCAATGAATCAGTGGTTTTAATATTATTTGAATGTCCATGTAGAATATGGGAATAAAGAATAACATGCAGGTGCACGTGGTGAAAGTGAAGCATGTTTGAAGGAGATCAGACAGAAAAAGGGTATCTTACTATTCAAATAAAAGCAAAGGGAAGAGATTTGCTTATTAAAATATCTATCTAGGACAGACAGACCCTTTTTTATGGCCTCATTCAAAAGACACCCACACAGTTTATCCACTGCTGTCTACGCACCCAAAGAAGAACAGCACTCCCAGTGCTGTCTGCGGGGCCCAGGACACAAAATGTTCCCTTTCGATATCACTGGATAGTCAAGCAGGTGCTTATTGCACTGATTAAGTCACTCCTCTGGGTCACCACTCAACACCATGCCGAGCAGGGAGCTCCACGCCAGCAGCCTCCCACTGCACAACACCCCAGCGGCCTCGTGCCTAAGAGCCAACCTGCCACAGCCTGAGCAGGAGTAAGAATGAGACTTGGACATCTCCTGGGACTCCCCTCCGCCGCTGCTCTGACACACGCCTGCTCTCGACAGCCCAAGCGGCTTGAAGACCCCCTCAGGTTAGGCAGCAAATACATACTTCAAGCATTTAGGCACTGTAGTGACGAGCACGGTATAAATAGCAGCAGACAGATTTATATCCCTCATCCTCAGAAACTGCTCGGATTGTTTTCCGTTTGAAAGAAATGGAAAGAATAAAAACACAGGCAATAGATTTGTGCCTGCTGAGACTCATTTCCTCCTGCTCAGCAGCCGCCCCTCCGCAGTGGCGGGAGCGAGAATCCCGCGGCCAGTCCTGGCGCTGGGAGCCGGGCTGACGGCGGCGGGGGGCAGAAGGGGCTGCTCCTTCTTTAGAGCCACGAAGGGCCCCGACTTGGACATAAAGGCAGGAAAGCAAATGTGTCTGCTCTGCCCCATCCACTCCCCAGCCTCAAAGCAACTGGCTCTCAGCACTGACTTTAAAGAAAGGCCAGATTGATAAAGAACAAAGAGAAAATCCATAAAATGTGGAGTGTAACCTCTGCCTAGCTATTCAGATGAGGTGCACTTGCACTAAAAAACATGACAGTCAACATTACCGGGAGCAGCTGTGACAACTGTCTCAGAGATGCAAATGCTGGACCAGAGGCAGAATTGCTCCTCCAAAAGACCAAACATGCCACTCAGTGCCTGAGGCTTTGGGATCCACAGCCCATTCACAAACTCTAAGGCATATGACAATAATATTCCGGCTTATGTTTTGATGTCACTCAAGAGCAGGCTGTGGAGACAGTAAGTGCCTGCATTATAATGAACGCTTTCTGCTTGACAGGAAGGATTCAGTGACTCAAGACTGTAAACAAACAGCAATTCCATGTTAACGTGGGGCACTGCCACTTCCACTGTGTATGCCTGAGGCACCGCTATCAGACAAAACTTCAAGTACATCTGAACCATCTAAGATTTTTACAAATACTTAAAAAAACCCCCAAACCATAAAGGCAGCACCACACAGCTCCCAGTGGGATCCCCCTTTAGGTGGAGGCTTGGCAAACTTTGAGAGACATTAAATAGTGCATGGAAGATCTATACCAGGCAACATATTCTGAATACATTTATACATGGTCTTTAATTTTTTACACTGATAATAACTTGTTATCTGGCAGGAGCCTTATACTGGACAGGCAGATGTGCAAGCACGGACCGGGAAAGCCAAAGGCTAGAACAGTGTGTGTACGACATGTTACAAAGAAATCGTTTTCATCTGCATCCTTAGGGAATACAGACTCAGGAGTTTTGCAAATTCACTGAAATTATCAGCTTCTGCAAACATTAACACTATTTTATTAGTTCACTTCTTAAAGTTTACTTCTGATTTTTTTCTGTATTAAAAAAAACTTTAGAGCAAATTTTTGTTATGAAAACAATTTTGTAAATAAGACCAGCTCTACACATATTCTAACAAGTAAAGAACTTGCAAGAGAAGTGACCATTATGCTAATTACCAGTAGGTGCTACAAATTATCCAGGTGCTGGACATGAAAAGTATCGCACCAAAATGTTTTCAGTCGAACTGCCATTTTATCCTTAGAAGTGATCTGAAAGGTAAAAGGAGGTTAAGCACACAAATACCTTTGAAGACTTGAACTGAACTCTTAATTTGGGTATCTAACTCCTATTGATTGGGAGCTGATGACAGGACTTTAAAACCCTTTGAAGATCCTGTCTGCCATGATTTTAAGTTTCTTTGTCATGAAAAGAAATGACCGTAAAGATTTTCCATTTCTTTCCTTTAAATGATATTAATCCATCTCTCTTTCAACCAGTATTGTAGTTGGGATTCTTGGAAGACACTTTAAATAATACATGAGCAGACTTTTGTGTATTATTAGGGAAGGAAAACTTCTGCAAAAGAAAAACCACCTCTTTTCTTTTTAAACATAAATTCTACAGCTATTTAAAAGAGGAAAAAAATCCCAACGATTTTTTTCACTGATGGACTACTGCCTCCTTTGACCCAATGATACACAGATGGAAGTTTAAACACCATAACCTTTTCCCATGTTTTGTATAGTATTGTTGCCACATTGGTGAGATACTCCACCTGCCAAAACTTACGCAAAGTGAATACTACGGATGTTTCACAATATTTTTATTATGCAAAATCACAGCAAATACAATAATGCATATTAAAAGGACAGATGTTGCCACACTAGTTCTTTCACCTAGATTTAAGAGGAGCAAAACGATATTCAAATGTATATAGCTATCTTCTAAAATTAGTTGTTAAAACTACCAAAACCAGCAGCCTACCTAATATCATGTCAGCTATTTAAAAAAAATAAAAAAGCAAAGTCAGTTGAAGAGGTGAGAGAATTTAAAAATGCTTAACAGCACAGTTGTAACCTGTTTTTCTATTCTTTAAATTATGTTAGAAATGCTTTTAAACATTTTACATGACACTTTTAAAATCTATGCTTGAAACAGAGTTGGGAGAGGCTGCACTGCACCTTTGGAAAAGATGGATTGAGAAAACTACTAAATGGCGATTGCATTATCACTAGAGCCATGAAATCTGCAGTTAAAGTGTAAAAAGTAAATTCCTTAGAGCCAACATAGCAAGAAAGAGCAGACCTTTGACATCCTGCTTGAGGAGGGGTCCTTACGATGAATTAACAGCCCAAATCAGTAACGTTGCGAAACATGCCGAGGGCTCTCTGCTCCCATCACTGTAATGACACTGGAGGATGCTCAGCAGCGGTACTCTGTACCTGTTGGACAACACCTCACAGAATTGTGCCTGAACAATTGAATTAAGAAAGCACTTCAGTGATAACAGGTTCCCCCTGGGAAATTACTAGTTAAGGAGGGAAGGAGGGACATTGGCACAGGAATTTTAAGATGCGTGAAGAACTGGGAAACAGGAGGGTGGGGGACTGATCACAGCCTGTGTTGAAAGGAGAACGTTAGGCTGGAGGAAAGGCAGAAGTTAAAAGATCTTGTGGGTTGTCTTTGGGACAATTCTCAACCTAATTTAGGAATTAAGAGCTAGGACTGGATTAATGACATTGGCTGATTACCAAGTAGGGAATACTAGTCAATACAAGAAGACGATCAAAATACTATCTAAGAAACTGGACCACCTTTTGGGTTGGAGTAACAAAAATGCAAACATTTATACTCACAGACCAGAAATAGGCCTTTTCTAACTGAAGAGCTGTAAGGTTATCAGCTAGAAATGGGAGAGGAAAAGAAAGGAAAATCTGACCATATTTGTTGACCTACAAATGGTTATAACCTACGAACGGTTATAACTAACCACCTGATGTCACCCTGAATCAAACAAATTTATTATTAGCATGAATTAGGAGAATTGTTTCCAATATAGGTAAGGAAACATAGCGCCATTGCTGATGTGTCACTGGTGAGCCTTCACACCGACAAAACCAGAAAGCCTAATGCTAACTGGAATGGGAGCCAAGACCAGCTACCAGCATGACGTGCCAGGAGGCTGGAAGAGCGAGTATTATTTGGCATGGCAAAAACTAAAGCTCTGATTTCATGACTTCTTTTTAAAAATATATTTGCGGCTAAATATCAGGGAGGAAAAAGAACACGATGTTTAGGATGATAATCAAACCATTATTGGAATTTGAAACAACTTCCTTTTAGGAATAATGAGGTCCAGGAAACATAGTGATTAAGATGAAATCCGATAAAATAATGGGATTATATCACACAGTCTATGTGACAGTAAAGGCTCACAGACCAGAAGGGACATTTTGGGCCTCAGATCCCTATATCAGAAATGAAAGATCATAAATAGGCTTCTATCTGGGATTGTTTTAAATGAGCTTTTCAGGAAATTAGACATGAGGTGCAAATGACCTCAAAGGAAAGAAATTTTTCTATGGGTAGCATAAAGGGAAACTGGTCATGTGGTTTGTGTTATCTCTTTCATCTTACAAAGCCTATGACCCCTTAAGAATAAAGATTATTTTCT